CCCAGTAGCAAAACTTTCCAATTAAAGAAAGCTGCTCTAACATCATTCACCAGTTCCATGGTAGGTAGGTCACTTTGAGAATTTATAGGGTTTTGTATACAAATTACTCTTTTGATAAAAGACTCCAAGTAAATAAACATGTGTCTTACTTTAAATGGCTTTATTTTACTAAACTGATACCTCCTTTTGCATGACCCACTATTCCCACTGATTTTACTTAATTGGTCTACTATTCAACAACAGAAGCTCTTCCATTTCAATAAAAATGTCAAAGTTGAAGTATGAACAATGTTAGTATCTATCACAAATAGACACTAATCTAAATTTTACAATATGATCACATAGTGAGTAAAACTCAGAATTACTGAAGCCGGTGCTTTATGTGCTAATTACAAACTCTTCTTTCTTTAGTTTCATTTTTTTTTTTTTTATTATTACATTCTGATAGGCTCAATCCTTTCCTGGCCTCATTCCATTGCAGCCGACCCCAAATAAGCTTTACATTTCCTCACTAAGAACAGGAATTCAAAACTATTCTCATACTTTGGATAATTCTTGGAGGTTAATATCCCTTTTGGAATTGAGTTAGAAACTGGTGCTCAGACTTGAATTATGATTGTCTGCTGCTATTTCTACTCATATAAGTCAGCTAGCTGCTACTCTTCATTAACAACAGGCATTATGGCCAGAATTATGCTGAAGTAAAAACCAATCCCCATAGGAAACCAATGCTGATATTTAGGAAATTCTTGAGCAGACTAATCCCATCATTATATGTACCAAAAGATAATAAGATCCTATTTCTTTTTTTAAAAGTTTGATAGTATGAGTTGTTCAATATTTCAAAGAGGTATTTCTAGGGAGACTGGATAGTAAACTTGTTGAATAGGGAAAAAGAGTATTTGGGATTAGCTAGAATGGTCTCCTTGGATAAAGAGGAATGACATGTATCAAACTCAAACATATCTTTTTCTACTTTCTATCTTTCCTAACTCAGATAAAGACATTAAAACTTTCCAGAGGTCCAAAGTAAGAACCTCCCAGAATGATCCTTGATTCTTCCAACTCTTTCTTTTCTAACCCTAATTTGGTTAATCAACTAAAGCCTATCAAACAACTATGAATTGCTTCTTCCTTTCCAATCTTAATGCCAGTACTCTTCAATAGGTCCATAAAGTCTCTTCCTTGGGCTACTTACACTAGTCAACTGACTGATTCCCTCGCATCCATTCTCTTTAACGAGTTCTTTATCTTTCAAGTGTTGTGTTTTTGGAGTTCAGTTGCATAACCTCTTACTCTCTCCTTCTGTACTTTCTTGCTAGATAATTAATCTACCCCTGTGGACTCAAGGGCTCTTAATATAATGATAATCCTGCAACTTTTATCTCTAGCCTGATCAATCACTGCCTTAGGCTTCAAGCCCATGTTCACTGGTCTAAAGGATATCTCTAACTGGAGGTCCCACAGGAACTTCATCTGTCCCACCTCATTTTGTGGTCTCTATCTTGGAAAATAAAACCCCCATCTGCCCAGGTTGAGACAGAAACCAGAATACTATTGTTGAATTCTTTTACTCACACCCTGTGCATTTATTTGTCTCTTAAATCTGTTCATCTCTCTCCACACTCACTGCCACTAGTTCAGGCCATCATCAAATCTCATTTGGATCATTGTAGCAGCCTTCTAAATAGTCTCTCTACCTTCAGACCTGTCCCTCTGCAATCCTGGCTACATTAGAGTGATTTTTCTAAAAGTACAAATATTAATATGCCTCTCTCCTGCTTGAAATCCTTCAATAGCTTATTACTACCCTTAAGATCAAGTTCATTCAAACTCTTACCTGACCTACCAGCTCCTCAAGGTTCCTCTGGAGCCTCATCACCAGCCACTCTCCATTGTTTTTTTTAAATATTTAGATATTTAAATATCCTCTCCCCTCTGGGCCTTTGGAAATTCTTTTCCCTCTTCCTGGAATATTCTTTCCCTTGCTCCCTGCTTCTTTGCTTAATTCATCTTTGGATGCCAGTTTGGATTTCATTTACTATTTCGACAATACTTCCCTGACAATGACCTCCTAAGATTTGGTTTGGTGGCCTTCTGATTTGCCCTAAGAGCACACTCTACTCACTTAATACGGCCATTTTCTTTCTCTACTCTAATTGCCTCTCTCTCCTTAACCACAATGTATGTTTTTTGAGGGCCTCTATACTTATGCTTCCACTGTTCCCAGTTTCTGGAATATCATTCCCCTGCTTTTTTCCTGGAAAACTTTTTCTGAACTACTCCCAGCTTCAATTCAGGTAGACTTACCAGCTCTTCTTCTAGGTCATCACAGAACATTACACTTGATTCTGTTACAACATATAGCTTGCTACATTACAGTTACTTATTTTTAATAATGCCCTTTGGCTAAACAGTGAGTGTCAGGAAGGTACATATTAACATACTCATTTTAGATGCCTACCACAGTGCCTGGTATGTAGTAGTTCTTCATTATGTACCTACCAGAATAATTAAAACAAAGTTAACTCTGTTTCAACTACTCCTACCAAGAATTAGGCAAAAGACAGGTAAGACGAAAATGGGTCATTTTACAAAATGTGAAGATGAAAATGTATGGGTTTATACAACTTTGCTTAACCCTAGAAGTATTCAGCTTCTTTCCTGACCCACCCCTCTTTTTAAAAGTGCCATTTAGAGAGCTTCTACTAACTCTTACATGTAAATAAACCCTTTTGATTTACTCCCTAACTCTAATTCATTTGGCAAGAGAAAGAGCATGAGAGAAAAAAAAATTAAATGAGCTAAAAATATTTTATGAATAATGATCAATTATGAATTTTAAAAGGTCAATTCTACGGCAGAAGTCCAGAAAGCCTTGATTTGAATCCCAACCCTGTCACTTCCTGACTTTGTGCAAACCACTTATCTCTCAAGCCTTCGTTTTTCCATCTGTGCAGTAAGAACTGTAGTAATACATGCATCGTACCTAGGGTTATTGTTGGAATTAAGACTTTATATATGTGAAACATTTAGAACAAAGCATGACATAGAGTAGCAGTTAATAAGTGTTAGCTATTATTATTATCTTAAATCGAGATTGTTTAATTAATAAGAGTTACAGTATGTTGCTAGATTATAGGAAAGGACCCTCAAGATAGAATATGAGTTCTAAAAGACTTCTGAATACTCTAGACCAGTTGGGTATTAATATAGAGTAGTGATACGAATAAGCATGTCCTAAAGGACTTTACATTTCAGAGTTGGTACTAGGTTCTAATTAAGACCTTTGTGTTTAATTGCTGTAACTCTGGAAGATTTTATTTCTCTATTTTCACATTTATAAGTACTCTGATCTACCCTGTAATGATGGTATGGATTAACTAACAAGTGACTGTCAAGGACTTTGAAAATACAAAAACACTAAAATGACAAATCAGTGTAAGTACCTATGTAATTCACTAACAATATAGCATACTACATTAATTCCCATAATGCCTTCTAATTCTAGTTCTTAACTCCTAAGTTCTTGTTAATTTTCTTAAAGGATGTTATAAAATTTACTATGTAGTAAAAAAAAAATAAACTTCAGAATCTGTATTAGTTTGGGTTAGGAAACTGTCAGAATTAAATGTAGATCCAATAAAATTTAAAAGCGATGTATTATAGGCAAGGATGCAGAGAAAGGGGAACACTTCTACACTGTTGGTGGGAATGCAAGCTGGTGCAGCCACTCTGGAAAACAGTATGGAGGTTCCTCAAAAAATTGAAAATAGAGCTATCCTACGACCCAGCAATTGTAATACTGGGTATTTACCCCAAAGATACAAATGTAGTGATCTGAAGGGGCACATGCACCGCAATGTTTACAGTAGCAATGTCCACAATACAAAAACTACAGAAAGAGCCTAGATGTCCATCAACAGATGAATGGATAAAGATGTGGTATATATACACACACACACAATGGAATATTATGCAGCCATCAGAAAATGAAATCTTGCCATTTGCAACGACGTGGATAGAACTAGAGGGTATTATGCTAAGCGAAATAAGTCAATCAGAGAAAGACAATTACCATATAATCTCACTGATATGAAGAATTTGAGAAACAAGACAGAGGATCACAGGGGAAGGGAGGGAAAAATGAAACAAGACGAAACCAGAGAGGGAGACAAACCATAAAAGACTCTTAATCTCAGGAAACAAACTAAGGGTTGCTGGAGTAGAGGGGGGTGGGAGGGATAGGGTGGCTGGGTGATGGACATTGGGTAGGATATGTACTATGTTGAGTGCTGTGAATTTTGAAAGATTGATCACAGACCTATACCCCTGAAACAAATAATACATTATACGTTAATAAAAAAATTTTTAAAAAGTGATGTAATTCTAAAATCATTATCATCGTTGCTAAAATAAATGGTCTTGTTGAGATTTTAAAATATCAGCATATGTATTTTAAAATCCGATTTTAAAATGTCATGTAATAATATTAGTAACAATTCCAGCTTAAAAGCCAAAGAGATGATTATCAAAATATTTTTGATAAAGCCTATCATTCTGATAAATGAAAAGGTTATGATTTAGCCATATTTTAAAAGTACAGCCAAATCTTGATTATCTTTGGTCCGTGGAGATCTGGACAGCTGGGGTAGTTAAAATCCATCTATCATTTCAGAACTTCATCTTTAGCCTCTCCTCCCACCACATCTTTACCACAGTTAACTTAGTGGGCCAGTTTGCATTTCCACTCCCTTTTTTTCTTACTTGAACAAGGAAATGGCAAAATAAATACATGAATAAAAATTTGACAACAAATAAGACATAGGAAGGAAGGGCTAATCTATACACTAGATAACCCGTCTCTGAGTATCAAGAGTTGGCTGCACACATTGTTTACCTTAAGAATTAAAACAGCCTCATTCTCCTTCATGTCTTTAAATAAAACCAAACAGGAGCTCCTATGCCTTAACATCCCTAGTCAGCGTTTCTCTGAGTACCTGAAAGAACCCTGGTGGTACAGGACCTACTGGCATGCCATCTCCTGGGGGAACGTTTCCTAGCACTGGGCTGGGAGCTGCTGCAGCGCTCTGCAAAGAATAAAGGAGAAACAAACCTACATCATTACAGCGAAGGCACAAAACCAAAGACTAACGATCACAGACTGTAGGAAGGGGAGCTTTTCATTCCCAGGAATAACTATTGGTAATTTCCCCCACTCTAGAGGTAAACTAAGGTACAGCAGTTAGTTTTGTATATGACTAAGTTATTTGGTTTAAACAAGTCTTTTAAAACTGTTTGAATCATAGGATTTTAATAAGATGGTATATTTGAATGATATATAAAAGGCAAATAATAACACGACAAAAAGATAAAAGTTTAAGTAAATGCTTTATTGAAGGCACAGGCATCTGAAATGGTAACATCAATAACAAATATGTATATATGTAGGTAATAAGTTTGAAAACGGTGGGTACAAAAGTTGGAAAAAAGAACTCTTTTTTTAGATTATGCTTTTCTGTGTCGTAAACAAGAACAATTAATTTTCTGCCTATAGGTGGTAACACATTATTCAATTTCTGATATATTACAACCGGAAGCCAAAATATAATTGATAGCAAAAACAGGGTGGTGAGGATGAAAAAGTAATTAGGAGACTGGATAAAAGAATTAGATTTAGAGAGATTAGTTTCATATAAACAGATTATGAAAGAAACAGATTGAAAAACTCAGTCTATTTCACTTACAAATTATTTTATGGAACCCTAGAGCTTCATGAAATAGGAGTACTAAAAATTTTGAGTTAGACTCTTTGTAATCAAATCGAGGTTTTAGATTTAATTATTACATACAACAGTAATACATATCACTCACTATTCCACAACCATGGGTTTCATTTCATCCTTCTACCTAGTTACATATTATAAATACTAAGAACAGTCATAAAGGGACCAGAAATGTGCTGAAGAAAGATCAGTATGAATACAACAGTTCTGCTATGAAAAGAACACAAAACAAATACTGGATCTAGTATATCTGTTGCACTGTCCTTGTCCATATATCAGTGTATTCATTCATACATTAATATTCCATTAGAGAATGAAAAATCAATATATTTGTAGCCTACATTTCCTGGTATATAAATTGATAAAAATACTAAAACATGTTTATTCTATAATACTAGCAGTTTTTAATAATGAAGACCAATGATTTTAGTATTTCCTGAGGAAATCTAGATTTAAATGTGGTTATCTAAAATGTTGCTTACCAATGAATGCCAAAATTCTAAACTTCTGATAAAGCAAATAAAAGGACAAATAATATTTCTTAGATATTAAGATGAAACATTAATCTGTTATTCTATTTTATTTTATTATTATTACTTTTTTAAGTAGGCTCCACGCCCAGCATGGAGCTCAATGCAGGGCTTGGACTCACAACCCTGAGATGAAGACTTGAGCAGAGATCAAGAGTCAGACGTTTAACCAACTGAGCCACCCAGGCACCCATGTTATTCGATTTGAAGCAAAAACATGCAATTTAATTAATGTACATTAATTGAATACCTACCATTTGCCAGATATTGTCCTATTTTGCTTTATGTATCAACATTCATGTTTTTAAAAAAATGAAAGGCACATTTTTTTTTTCATTTTAACTAACCTGGTGTAAAGTTTTAACATACAGTGTTACAGTAAGAGGAAAATTTACCACCAAACATTTTTCCTCTTTTAGTTTAAATATGATTACAGGTAGATCTAGGAAAAAAGACTTGATCGAGGTCCTTTGACAGTCAATTACTGTCATGGGGAAGCTGCTCTCAGTACTAAGAGCTAAACATAGGATGTCACTATTGTTCTAATTAATTGCAGGACAGAAACTTTTTTTTAAAGATGTATTTATTTATTTGAGAGAGAGAGACAGAGAGAGTTAGAGAGCAAGAGAGAAAGAGAGCAAGAGAGAGAGAGCATAAACGGGGAGGAGAGGGAGAAAAGCAGGTTCCCTGCTGAGCAGGGAGCCCAAAGCGGGGCTCAATCCCAGGACCCTGAGATCATGACCTAAGCCGAAGGCATATGCTTATCTGACTGAGCCACCCAGGTGCCCCAATAGAAACATTTTGAGATACGTTTGTAAACCATCCTCACCTATACTTTTACAGATATGTGTACTACAACTTTGAGCAGGTTTATAAAAACAAAATAGAATTCAGTGAATTATTGCAGCTTCTTAGTATAATTCCAAGATGCTATTTCTCCCTCAATTGTAGTTGCCTAGCATGTGATGTGATAAGCACTGGGTGTTATACAAACTGATGAATTATTGAACTCTACATCTGACACGAATGTTGGCTAATTGAATTTAAATTAAAAAAATAATAAAATTAAAAACATTTCAAAGCAAAAAACAAAAATAAACAAACAAAAACCTTCTGCCTCCCCAAAGGAGAAGAAAAAGTTTGTTTGTATCTAAATTAAAATTCAACAAAAATGCTGGATCATCATTGGCTCCTTTATTTTTTTCTTTTTTGGGGACCACAGAGCTTAAAGGCATATAATATGCTAGCTTATTCTTCAAAGTTCTTCATTATATATGCTTCCTGTGGTATTTTTCATCTATTATTTAAAAGTGAAACAAAATGTATGATTCAGATAAAGATTTAAACAATTAAATCTTTAAAAATGGCTTTTGAATGTTCATTTCATGACTTCAAAATTATTGAACAAATTCAATCAAAATATATATTATCGAGAACTCTTTAACACTCTGCAACAGAGCAGTTAACACAATAGGAAAAAAAATCCTTAAAATCCTTGCCATTTGGAAATTAACATGCTAGTGTGAGAAGAAAGATAATGATAAGTTCTACGGAGAAAAAAAGAACAGGGAACAGAGAGTTCCCAATGAAGGGGGTAGGGATTATAATTTTAAATAGAATAGTCAGGAATGAATGAATAAATCATACAAACTAATGGATCACGTTATGGTGACTAACTGATTTAAATATGCCTTTTACTCTGTTGTTGAGACTGCCTCCCTACATTTCAAGAGGTACCAAATTCCTACAGTTTGAACCTATTCCCTCACAGTGGCACAAGAATTTTGTGGAAATTTTTCTTTCTTGATAATCGTACTTTGGGCAAATAGTATTCTTGAAAAGAATAGAAGTGAAAAAAAACAGAATAGAAACAGCAAACTGTTTCTTGAAAATAGAAAAGAGTTTTATAGCTAGATGATTTATGATTTAGAACATGATGATGTACTTTTCTGGTGTGATAGTAATTTCTAGCCTTGGCACAAGGACACAAAGTGAAATGAACAGAACCTTAGTAATTATCCAGTTTGTTTACCCAGTACAAAGCACTACATCAGAGCATTTCAGCCCAAACTTCACTCTGTGGACCACATTTTTGAGCTAAATCATTCATCCATTCCTCTAGGATTTATTGACAAGGGATAACTCACCCTTTATTGTACTGTGTGGACTCAAGCTTAGGGTACCATTTGGTACACTGTGTTAATCATTAACAAATACTAGTCTGATAATAAATACTCTAGAGGTACACCAAATTGCACTGCAAGCATTGTGAAAGAGTGTATTTCTCAAATCATTTAACTTGCTCATTTATATACAGTAGCAATATAAATAATATATGCTTTGAAACTGTAAGCAAAATGAGAATCAAGTTTTTGGGATTAGGGATTTATGTAGAAGAAAGAAGTACAAAATTTCTTGGATTTCATTGCTACGATTTATTTATTTTTATTTTTTCTTAGAGAGAATGGGCTAACGTGTGGGGGAGCCGAGGGAGAGGGGGAGAGAGAGAGAGAATATCAAGCCACACCCACTAGGAAGCCAACTGTGGGGCTTGATCTCATCACCCTGAGATCACAAACTGTCATTGCTATAATTTCTAGGACTTGTTTCAAGTTTACTTCCAACTTACGAGAAATTTATCTCTTGACTTGAAGATTGACAGGAAATTGTTGGCTCTAATTTATAAAGTCTGTATTATTCTGGACGGTTGTGACTAAATCACAAAAGAGCAAGTAGTTTAATTACATTAAGAACTACTAGAAAGCATTAGTTTCACTGGATTTGTGTGAATTCCCATTAGAATACCATGAAAAATCCTTTATTACGTAATATGTGCATGATTAGGGTTGACTTTTTATTTTCTCTCTCTCATAAAAAGAAAATCCTGTAAATATTATGGCTTTAAAATATTTCTTCTAACCAAACTGAATACATAAGACTTCAGGGCAAATGTGAGAATATTAATTATCATTAAAAGTGTTTTGTCTCTCTACTGGATTAATTTGTATGATTTCAATATATATGTTTAGATAGGTATTTTCTATCTGCTCTTAAATCATTTACTTTGTCATAGTCTTAAATTTCAAGGGTTTTTGGGGCGCCTGGGTGGCTCAGACGGTTATTCAGCTCAGGTCATGATCCCAGGGTCCTGGGACTGAACCTCACTTCGGGCTCCCTGCTCAGCAGGGAGCCTGCTTCTCCCTCTCCTCTTACTGCTCCCCCCGCTTGTGCTCTCTCGCTCTGTCAAATAAATAAATAAAACCCTTTAAAAAAAGTAAATTTCAAGGGTTTTTGAGAGTGACAAGTTTACTTTTTCTTTATTTCCCCAAGTCGCTAATATAATTTTATCTACTTTTTATATATGCAATATATTAAATTTGGTGAATTATTTGCTTTCCCAAGGACACAGTAAAATGAACTTTAAAGAGTCACCACGAAATCTTTACATGTTGTTATATATTTATCTTTGCTTAAGTCTGTATGGCCATTTTCCTCTCTTGGACTTCCTATACTTAAATAATTCTACCCTTTAAGAAGGCATAAGTCAATCTGTGCCCTTTCTTTCTTTTTGTGTTGTTTGTTTTTCCTTTGTATATATAGATGTCTAGCACCATTTTCCATTTTCTCCTTTCTCTTAAGTGCTATTATATTACTGCATTTAAAAAATATTTTTATTCTCCCTCTAATTCCCTATTTCTGAATTTAAAGAAGAGAGATACACTGTTACTTTATATTTTATCTTCTTAAATAAAAATCTGTAATAGAAATGGAAAG